TGGTAATCTGGATGAACTGACTGCACAGACCATGTTTTCAGGAGGACTTTCTCACTTCAACATAGATTCTAACTACTTTTTACCCGCTGATCACAGCAAATATGGCTGCCATTGTTCCAGGCAAAGAAATGATAGGGTAGCTCCGCCCACCGCTCATCAGAACCACTGCGTTGGGGAGGGAAAGTGGTTCTGATGAGCGTTTTTGCTGCCTCTGCTGCGTTCGGTCTGACCGTAGCATAACCTTGGATATCAGATGGAGGAAGATGGACATATCTCTATAGATGCTTCTATTCTAGATCTATATATGCTTCTATTCTAGATCCCTGCAGAGGACGTGTCTCTGACGGCGGATCTGAAGCAGATCTAGCTTCTCTAACGTTTCTCCTCCTCTCCTCAGTTTTCAGCCTGCAGGACCTCTGCTGCAGAGCCATCGTGTCCTGCACGCCCGTCCACCTCATCGACAAGCTGCCGCTGCCCGTGGCCATCAAGTCCCACCTCAAGTCCTTCTCCATGGCCAACGGCATGAACGCCGTCATGATGCACGGACGCTCGTACTCGGTGGCCAACACGGCCGGCGGCTCCAAAGGCAACAGCCTGAAGCGCTCCAAGTCCATCCGTCCTCCTCAGAGCCCGCCGCAGAACTGCACCCGCAGCAACTGCAAGATCTCCTAACTGCTGGCGGGCCGGGAGGCGGCGGAGACGCCGGAGCTCAGGGCACCTCTGGAGAACAGCTACAGACTCTTAGTCACTACACGGTGGAGGCGGAGCCCAGGGGCTCTGCTATGTACAGAAACGCCGCCACCGCCGCCGCTCGTTCTCTTCTAATGACCCATAAGCTAACGTTTCAGACACTACAGAACCATTAAACCCAAAGGACCCGGGCTGCAGCAGACTCGGGTCCAGGCTTGTTCTCGTGCCTTGATGTACGGTTCCTGGGTTCAGGTTCTGGATTCGACCCGTCTGATAGGACAGGGTTCGGGTTCTGGAACCTTCTGGTTTTATTCCTCCATAAATGAAAGTGTTTAGTCTTTAGAAAGAATCCGATCCGAGTCTAGAGTGAGGTTCTGGGGAGGTCCGATTCTGGGTGGGCGATGTGAAGGATAGAGGGGCGACCCGGTTCCTCCTTCTTCCTCCTCCTCTTCCTCAGCTTCACTTTACTTCATCTGAGGCGGCGCCTGATGAGCTTCCTGCTGCTGCTGGGCGGCTTCAGGCTGGAGCAGGCGGTTCCTTCCTTCCTTCCTTCCTTCCTTCCTTCCTTCCTTCCTTCCTTCCTTCCTTCCTTCCTTCCTTCCTCGCTTCCTGTGCTGCCTTCAGGTGCTGCAGGACCTTCCATCTTTTGGCCCCTCCTCCTCTCGTTTAAAGATGGCCGCCTCGTCTCATCGGGTTTTATTCCTCCTACAGTTGAAGAACTTGGTTCTGATCTTTTCTTTTTTTCCAGTTTTAACCTCAAATAGTTTGAACATAATTTTTATTTAAACCTTTCAGCTTCGGATCCATCAGAACCGCTCAAATTTACGAATAAACCCAAAGAAAACGGCTCCGCTGTAGAAGCTTGAACCCGAGAAGTTCTCCAAACCCGTCCAGCCACTATCGGAACCGACTGGTTCCAGAACCTGATCCTGCTTGAACTCGGCCTCCTTTAAACCTTATCTGATCTTCTGAACATTCGTTTCATTCCTGGTTGTCAGAGGACCAACGATGCCGGTTCTGCTGGTCCATCAGGAGGCCCATCGGGTCAGAACCCAGCGATCCATGAACAGCAGGATCTCCTAAGAGGTTCTGCTCTTCTGGATCCAGATCACACTAGACCAGAACCCGTGCAGAGGTTCCCCTCCCCTCTCAGCAGGTTCTCCTGGCTGATGGTGGGAGGTTTGGACCCCGATGCCGGTCTGGTTCTAGTAGGACACTACTCCTGTTTCTCCCGCCTCGTTCCCCTGAAGCTGCTGAGTGATCTGAAACGTGAGGATGTTTGATGATGATGATGATGATGATGATGATTTTTAAATTATTGATTGTACAGCTACAGGCGACATGTATGAAGAGACTTTTTCACAATAAAACTGTTGAATGTTGGATTCGCTGAGTTTGGATCTGATTTGGACCGTTTTAACTCTGGAAGCTTCAGTTGAGAATGCTGCCCCCTGCTGGACGCTTCAGGAACCTTTTTTTTTTTATTGGATTTCAAACAAAAGAGATGAATAACAAGAGAAAAAAAAAAACAAGAAGTTATTTATAGGAAATAAAAAGAAAACTATGATCATGATCACTGTACCTCTTGTTTGGAGGTTTTGCGATAAATCTGAAAAACAGTTTTTATTCATATTTTAAAAAGGGTGCTAAAAACTAATAGGAGTATGACAGGGATCTTTCTAACCCACTAAGTGATCAAAATTTCATTCAGTTCTCCAGGTTTTAAAAATATTACCAGTGAACATCTAGGAAAGGTTTGAAAATAGAATTCTATT